ACATCAGCGACTTCCACAGTCAGCAACTGCATTCAAACAGGTTTTATCAGCAAGTAGAAGTTTCAGTCAGTAAGGTCAAAACTCACGAAGAATGGATTTAAACTTGCTTAATGTAAAGACGGAACCTGAAGTCACGTAGCGTTAGTAATCGCCAGGCTAACGGTGGCCATTTAGAGGCTGGCGCTGCCGGTGCTGTGCATATTCTGATTTTATTAAAATAAAAAGTTGGATTGCAAAAACACTCACAGGTGTCAGGACAGGGCTGAATAATGTTCCTCCAAATTCATGTCTTTCTCAAAAACTCAGAACGTGACCTTAATTGGAAATAGAAGTTTTGCGATGTATTTGGTTAGGAAGACATTTTACAGGAGTAGGGTGAGCCCTAAATCCAATGACTGGTGTCCTTCCGAGAGGAAAGAAGACCCACAGAAAAACAGCCGTGACGAGAATGCCACGCGGTGATGGAGGCAGTGGTGACAGTGATGCACCCACAAGCCACGGCTCCGAAGCCGCTGCCCCCGGACGCCAGAAGACAGGCCCACAGCAGATTCTCCCCCCGGCTGTGGATGAACCAGCACCACTGACACCTTGATTTTGAACTTCCAGCCTGTGGAGCTGTGGGGAAAATGTTTCTGTGGCTTTAAGCTACTTGGTCCATGGTTCCTTTCTCATAGCAGCCCCAGCCAAGCAGTGCTGAAGCCCCGCCACCCCAGGAGAGCTTCGTGACTGCCAGGACAGCCATGTTCGTTTCAAGGCTAGACTGCAGCTGCTGTGCGTATTTGATTTTAGTAAAATAAAAAGTGTGCACAGCAAGGTCCTGAGTGGGACATTCTGGGACCTGCGTTCAGTCCCACCCACCCCAGAGCACAGCTGTTGAGGCCTCTGAGGTGGCGTCGGGGAGGGAGACGGCCTAGTGCCTTCTCTGGTGCTGACCATGTCCTCCCAGGATGCAGGCTGGCCCCAGGACACCACAGGCGTGGTCATGGGCCAGGCCGGCTCCACACGGCTAAGTGTGTCATGCTTCTGGGTCCACAGGTCTCAGGGCTCCTGCACAGAGCAGTGTGGCCTGAGGGGTGGGGAGAAGCTGGGGGAGACGGAACCACACATTACCCCATGGAGGGGAGTCCGGTTCCATGTGGAAGACAGGGAGAGGTGGGCTAAGGGGACAGAGGCTGGGGAGAGCAGTGGGCTGAGGGTGGGATGGAGAGGACCCCCATGCGATGTGGCTGCAGCTCCAGTGTCACCGGGCAGGGGGCCGCTCAGGTCAGCAAGGCCTCAGCCTCAGATAAGCTATCCAACCCTGAGGGTCCACTCAGCCTTCCCAGGGGCCTCCCCTTTCCTCCTCACGAGGGTCTTCCCCTGCTGCATCTCTCCCTCACACCCTCCTTCCCCACACCTGTGTCCTCTAGGTGCCCCTGCCTGTCTACTTTATCCAGGACGCACACAAGCCTAGGGTCCCTGTCTCCCTCATCCCCACCAGAGGGGCCTTCCCTTCCTCTGTTGCCCCCAGCCTTGCCTGGCTTCTGCCCTTTCTGGACCTCTGCTTTTGGACAGGCCTAGGGGTCCTGGACATCCCTGGTGGCCCCCCCAGTCCAGCTGTGTGTAGCCAGTCCGAGGGTGGTGGCACTGGCTCAGCTCAGCTCCTTCTCTCTGGGAGCTCCTCTGTGGTGTCCCCTTCCTGTCCTCCCTGTGGTGGCGGACAGTCAACTGTCCTGTCTCTGCCTGCCTCCACCCCTCCCTCTGTGTCCCTCCCCGTCTCTGTCTCCCTGTCTCTCCATCTCTGTCTCTGCCTCCAGGTCTCCCATTTCACTCTGTTTCTCCCTTCCTCTCCTTCTCACTCTCTGACTCTGTCCTTGTGTTTTTGCCTCTGTGACCTCTGATCTGCCCGTAGCCACAGGGACGTCCTTGGCTAGAAAGGCCAAGCCCAGCCATCCGAGGCCAACCCCTGGCAGCGGCCAAGGCACCCACCGTCCCAGCTGCGGAGATGAGAGGGTTTCCTCAGCTGCTGCCCCTCCCTGCTCCCCGGTGCCGCCTTTGAGTCTGAAGGGCGAGGGGCACTTACGGCTTCCCCCGGGCAGCAGGAGGCCAGCCAGGGAGGCGCTGAGCAGGACGAGGTGCAGTGGGCGTCCCATGGTGTGGCCGAGTAGCGTGTCCCTGTCCTCAGCGGGACAGGCAGCCGGAGCAAAGTGCACGCCCCGGCCGGGAGGCTGCTGTCCCGCTGCTTGTCACTTGGCTTAGGCCTCCTGATTGGAGCCGGGGCCTGCTGGCGAGGCAGGGGAGTGACCACGCTGGGAACACAGCCGGCCCGGCCCCACCTTCCCCAGGCAGAGCTGGGCGGCCAGAGGGGCCCAGTGGAGCCCCATCTTCATCAGTAACCAGGGCCTGCCGTGGGCATGGGGACGTTCTGTTCCAAGAGCAAATAAAAGCATCATTTCATGCTTGTTTTGTAGTTTCCAGATGTTTACATTTGACCCTCCGTCCTCACGATCACATAAAAGTGTCACTTTTCCCATAGTTTCCTAGCACAGAAAACTGAGGTTAGAGAGCAGGAAGCCTGGGCCGAGGCCGTGGGTGGCGAATGTGGGATTGGAGCCCAGGATGGCTGCTCCAAGGCCCTGCTTGTTTCTGAGAGGGTCCTTCTGCTCACGGCCACTCTCTAGGTGGTGTCTGGTGGTCTCATGTCACGGCAGGGGCTTGGCATCAGCACCACGGTCTCACACAGGCCAGGCTGGTACCTGTCCCACCCACCCTCAAACTTGTGCCCACGTGGCCCCAGCATGTACTGCCGTGGGGAGTGGGCCTCCCCTCGCCATCTGGGGGGACAGGCTCTGCCTGAAACCCCTCCTGGCCTCCCCACCACTGGCCACACTGTTCGGAGACTGAGAGGGCCCCTGGGCCTGTTCTCCAGCGCAGAACCTCGGCCAGCAGGCCAGCGGGCTGGCTGCTCCAGCTCCAGCCCGTCCACAGAATCGCTCTTGCATCACAACACGGCGTTTTCCAGAAATTCTCTGCTCAGTGGCTGCGGGAGTCACTGGGAGGTGCAGCCAGGATTTTTCCCTCTGGGGTCTCTGGAATAAATGGTCTAAAACTTGGCCAGTGTGGCGACCACTCCCTGCTACGCGGTAGTGGACGGGGAACAAGGTCCCTAAGACCTACAGCGCTGGCCTCGCGCTTCATCTGCCTTGACGAGTCGCCCTGTCTCGTGGCCACCTGCACATGAGCCTGGTGTGCACACATTGTGCATCTGTGCCCGGCACACAGGAGCCGCTCACTGAGCCCCACCCGACTGCACAAACTGATGATGGTGGATGCCAACGCCGGGCTGGCCTCCCATGGGGGGGCACCAGTCCTCTGAGAGGGGCCTTCCTGGTGGTGTCAGGTGTCTGGCTCCTGCCTCTCCTGGCGTCCATGCTCTGGCATCACCTCTAGGCATGTGTGTGAGAGACCGATGCAGTATGTGCACCACCAGCAGGGTGCCCATGCAGACACGCAGTCTTTGTGGTCAATGCTGGTGGCAATGCTGGCTTTGGGGGCGTGAGCCTGCCGCCTCCTCCGCCCTGTCCCAGTGGCCTCCCTGTTTTCTATCTCACTGCTCACAGAAAGCTGGAGCCCAGCCATGGCAGGCGGCACGTCCCATATGAAACATGTAGCCTTTGGGGGTGTCCAGGCCCTCAGCAAGGCCTCTAGGGAGCCCCGGCCCTCCTCCTCTGACAGCATCGTAGGGTGAGTGCCCACATTTCCCATTGGCAGGAAGGGAGGCCAGTGCTCCACCAGGACCCTGCGTGACTGCCCTGTTGACTCCTGTGGGTCTGGGTGGGCTCCTGGCCTGTCCTCTCATCTCCACCCTCCACTTCTTCCCAGGAAGAGGAGTCCTGCCAACTTCCTCTCCCAAGAAGCCAGAGCAGCTTCCAGAGCCTTGGGCTGGGCTTAGGGCCTCAGGAGCCCAGAGCATTCTGGTTGCAGAAATTTCTACCAATTCACTGAAGCATCTGTCTATTTGCAAAGTGGCTTTGCTGTCGATGATGACCGTATGGGCTTTTCCAGGACCTCGTTCTATCTGCACTGATCTCATCCCACCACAAGCATCACGGCGGGCTCCTGTTTTACAGATGAGGAAACTGAGGCATAGTCACTCAGATAAAAGAGAAAGCAGAGCCAGCTCTGACCCGGGTTAGGCCCTGCTGTTGGCTCCTATAAAGTCTGAGCTCCATGTGTGGGGCATTAGTAACTGGGGTCTGGCCAGCATCAGCAAGCATCTGTGGCAGTGGTCCTGACGTGAACCACGCTGGGCTTTGCAGGTCAGTGGGTCTGTCTGGCTGGACGGCCTCTGTCACGTACTCGATCAACGCCAATATGGGTGTGTTTCTAGAAAACTTTATTTACGAGAGCAGAGTGGCTTGGAAGCAGTCCTTGGCCATGGTTCACAGGCCCTGTCTGCTCCAAAGCAGATGTTCCGAGTGCCCCTGAGGTGGGTTGGCACCTGCTTTGCTGCTGTGAGCCCCGCTGGTGTCCAGGATGGCCCTGCAGGGCGACGTCGAGTCTGTTTTACAGGCCATGCTTGTTGGAGTTGGAGTGGGGGCAGTGTCTGTCGCCTCCTGATGTCTCTGTTCACGTGTTTCTCATTCTTCCCCCACCAACCCTGGGGACTTGGCAAGACTGCAGCTTGCCAGGTCCTCGCACTGCAGCCAGGGCCTGTGAGCCTGCATTTAGCGAAGTGTTCCTGATTTTTGAGCAGGTGCTCCCGGGCCCACTGAGAAATGTCATTGACAAGGGCTGCTGGAACAAAACATCCAGTTGCACAGGGGCCTGCAAGCTACAGCCTCAAACATCTATCCAAGAGCTTTGTTTTGAAAAAACAGCTTCCAGTCGGGCGCAGTGGCTCACGCCTGTAATCCTAGCACTTTGGGAGGCTGAGGTGGGTGGATCACCTGAGGTCAGGAGTTCAAGACCAGTCTGGCCATCATGGTGAAACCCCATCTTTAAAAAAAAATGTAATTAAAAAACAGCTTCCGTGTGAAGAGTCATTTCAGTGATGCTGAAAACTCTGAAGAAAAGAGTGGCTAAGAGGATGAGCACCAGGGCCCCAAAAATGAATCATGGGCAACCCAGAGGGTGGGAGGCCCCACAGGCGAACAGAGGAGATGCAGCCGTTTATTGTGAAGTGGGAAACAGGTGGGGAATAGCCTGTGCAGTGCGGCACCCAGCTTAGGGTGAAATACATTTGGGGGAAGAGTTTGGGGCTTTTACAACATGCATGGTGATGCTTCTGAATTGTCTGAAACGAAGGTGAAATGTTTGCATAACGAGAAAAGTGAGAGAGGGGACAGTACACATGGAGTCAGCATCGGTGTGTGTGCGCATCAGTATACCTGTGTGCATGTGTGTGCATCATGTGTACATTTGTGTGCACATATGTAGATCTGTGTGCATCTGTGTACCTGCGTGTGCATATCTGTGCACGTGTGTATATCTATGCGTGCATCCATGTGCACATGTATCTGTGTGCACATTTCTCTGTGTGTGCACTGGTGTGTGTACACACCTCTACTGTCTCCAGCAGTGAAGGCACAGCAGCAGCCTGAGGCCAGCAGATCACGTGCAGGTGGGCTTGGCTGAAGGGAGACAAGGTTTAGCTGGGCCGCCTGCCTCCAGGACAGCCATAGCACTCCCGTTCTCCATCTAGCGCCTGTCTGCCTCTGCCTCTCATCTTTCTATGCCCTGTCTGTGTCTTTATTAGTCTCTTTGAGTCTCTCCATGTCCTCAGAATGTCTCCCTCAGTTTTCTTTCTGTCTCTGTCTCCCCACCCCTCCCTCCCTCCCAAACCTTCCTCTACCCCATGAACTGCCGAAGAATCAATGGGGTTTGGTGCCAGGACAGCTCTACACAGCCCCAGCTTTCTCTCCGTGGGGCAGGGCTGCTGGGTTAGGGAAATGCGGCTCGCCAGAGGATGCCTGGGTGTGGTTCTGAGTGCATGAGGTTGTGCAGCCACTCGGTGTACTGGGAGACCCTGGTGTACACTCCAAAATGGCCTACAGCTGCGCAGCCCTGGCCCCAGCTGACGACACCTGTCAGGTACCACGTGCCCCGGTAGCGGGTTGCATGTGGACCTCCACTGTCCCCCTTGCAGGAGTCCTTGCTGCCATCCCGGTAGCCGGCGCAGAACATGTACTCCGTGACATTCGGGGAGCCTCCCGTCTTCTCCGACTGCTCCAGGCAGTCCTGGGTCATCAGCCGGGGCACGCTGATGGCCATGAGCTCCAGGGCCTTGGCGCCACGGTCCAGCAGCTGACCCCAGCCGCTGACCAACGAGAAGCGCACGTAGGCCAGCGTCATCTCAGAGAATGTCCGCTCAGGCAGGCAGAGGGGCACCACATGGTCAGTGAGGACCACAGGCTGGTGCAGGCGGAGCAGTGCAATGTCATGATTGGTGGTGCCCCGGACATACGTGCTGGGGATGATGACCTGCGCCACCCGCTGGCTCTGCTCATCACCATCGTGCTCGCTGAGGTCGTGCTCACCTGGAAGGAAGGGGCCCCACTCAGGCCTATGCCACTGCCTGCAGCCTCACCCTGGTGCATGGAGACAGGCTGTGGCCATTTTCAGGTCTGCAGGGGCTGCAATCTCCTTTTGGGGCCAGGGGGCCTGCATTCCACCCCAAGGTGACCCGGCAGACCTGCCCCAGTGGCAGCCGGTGGCTCGGGGTGGAGGGGGGGACATGTGAACTGGGGTGAATCTGGGGCCTGAGTGTTGGGGTGGGAAAGGGGTGCTGGGGCCTGGCAGCTAGGGGGACAGGGTATGCCCCGATTCTTCACAGTTCTTCTTGGCCTGGTGGCCCTCCTGGGAGTGCTCATCTCGCCCATAAACCCAGCCACCTGGTGGGCCCACGAGGCTCTGGGTGCTGCACCCTCCTCTGGGCTCTTGGCCAAGTGAGGCAGGATGGGCAGAGCCCCTAGTCTTTTACCATTTTATTTGGGCATGGGAAAGTGGCTGAGGGGATGGTGGCCAGACTAGGCATGCCCAGCACAGTTGCTCCCCTTTTGGAGACTTCTGTCTGTGGAAGTGACAGCACGCAAGCACGAAGCCCAGAGCCTCGGCCCCTGGGACTTGAGAGCTGCCGTCAGGTAGGGAGGGCAGCACCTACCCAGCACTGCGCTTATGTTCCTCCAGTTCTTGATTTTGTCAAAACAGTGAGCCGCGGAGACCACCCAGCTGGTGTCGATCAGGGTCCCCCCACAAAACATAGCTCCATTCTGCACCAGTAGTACCTGCATGGGGCACAGCAGGTGTGGAAGTCACATTGCTGTCACTGTTTCCTGGATGACTCGCCCTCCCGGGCACCCCAAGGGACCTCTGGCATCGCACAATTGATTTCTGAAATCCTTGGGTCCTTGCAGATCCCTCCCGGGCAGAGCTGCTCAGACCCGGCTCTGGGGGGCTGAGCCCCTCTCTGGCTGAGGCATGCTCTTGGGTACAGCCTAACACCACAGATGTCGCTGTGGGATTTCACTGTTCACCTCACAGGATCTTCACATAGCTTTGATCCAATGCTCCCGATTTTGCAAAGATCAGGCAAGGATTCTACCCTAAAGAGTAACAGTGAGGATGACATGACAGCTCGGGTGGGGAGCCTCGCTGGGCTCTTTGCACAGAGTAGACCCTCAGTGAGTGTCATTTTCTTTTCTCCTTCATGGAGTGCAGCGAGCTGGAGGTGCTGCGCGGGCTGACGTGGAGCCTGGTGGGCCTGGGGCTGACCTGCCCGTTTCCCTTCCGGAGCTGTTGTCCAGCTCACATTCAAAAGTCTCCAAGCCCCTCAGGGCTCAGAATCCTGAGGCCAGGGAAGTCTTACCTGCCACGGACACTCCCCTTTGGGGCACACCCTGCCCCCCACAATTCGGCCTTGGGGGATGCTGGCATTTCTTTTTTCTAGAATAGGTATTTTTCCACATGGATATTCAACTGTGTAAAACAAAAGTCAGGAAGATGCAGAGATCTGTGAGGAGTGTGTTACAGGTTCAGGCTCAGAAGCACCCTTCCTCTGAGAGGCTTCAGGCCGAGGCTTCGGGAGGCCCCCTCGCAGGAGCTGCCAGTTCCCAGGGATAGGGGAGGGCAGGGCCTTGGCTGGGCCTGGCTGGTGGGGCTGGGCCGTGAGAGGCCCTGGCGGAAGCAGCTGGCTGAGGAGACAATGGTCAGGGCTGGCTTTGGAGGAAACGGAGGGCCCTACGTCTTGAAACCACCCTCTGCTCACTTTTCAGGGGGATGATGTGGTGCTTGACTTTACTAAAAGGTCAATGAAATTCTGCCTCAAGATGAAGCAACAGCACAATTGTGTTGTTCTAATCCCACACTTAGTTTTTGATCTGCTCCAATCAAGGTCTTGGGCCAGAAAGAAAACCCGAGGAGGTGGCAGGCTGAGTCCTAGGCTGTATGGCTGGGGTGGACACATCTGCCTCTGAGAGACACAGCGAACATGAGGTGTCCCTGCCTGAGACAGCGCGGGCGTGGGGTGTCCCTGCCTGAGACAGCGCGGGCGTGGGGTGTCCCTGCCTGAGACAGAGCGGGCGTGGGGTGTC